AAGACTCTGTTGGGGGCTGCAGGGATGCCCTACAAGTTCTGGCCTGAAGCTGTTCGCCATGTCATCACGGTCAAGAACAGGGTCTTGACGCATGTTGGCGACAAGCACTGGGTGCCGTACGAGCGTTGGCTTGGAAAGAAGCCATCCATTGACATGCTGCGGGTGTGGGGCTGCATGGGGCTTGTGATGGTGCCTAAGGAGCAGAGGCACAAGCTGGAAGTTGCTGCTGTGTGGGCTGTCCATCTTGGGATGGCTCCTGACTCGAAGGGGTGGCTGATGTGGGACCCCAAGAGCAAGAAGACGCCGGTTTGCCGTGGCGTCAAGTTTGTGGAGGACGTCATGTACAAGGACTGGCAGCAGCAGCAGCAGGTGCAGATTGGCTTGCGTCCGCAGGAGATTGAGCGGTTTGTAGTGGAGGAGGTTCAGCTGCACCTTGATGATCTCCCTGGGTCAGAGCTGACCAGTGACCACAGTGGCGGTGGTGAGCAGCAAGTTTCTGGTCCTGCTGCGGAGGAGGGGTTGGAGGATGAGTCGGCACGTGTGGACTCACCAACTCAGCCCGAGCCTGCTGCAACCGCCAAGGTCACCAAGAGGAGTGTGCAAAAAGGAGCTTCACCACATGGGCAGCAGACTGCAACCCGCGAGAAGAGAGTGGCAGCACCACCTTCAAGGCTGAAGTATAGCCGTTTGGGAGGACCCAAGCAAGGTGCCATGGCGGTTCAGGCGGATGAGGGAGAGGATGAGGAGATGGCCTTCTGTTTCTTCACACCCTTGCCTGGAGAACCAGCCACAGTGGAGGAGGCACTGAGTGGACCCCAGAAGGAGGAGTGGAAGGCTGCCATGGATGCGGAGTTCAACAGTCTCATTGAGAATGGGACTTGGGAGCTTGTTGAGTTACCCGAGGGGCGACGGCCGATCAGCAGCAAGTGGGTCTTCAAGGTGAAGAGTGATGCTGATGGTGCGCTGGAGCGGTTCAAGAGCCGCTTGGTCGCCAAGGGGTTTCAGCAGAAGGAGAAGGTCGACTTTGGGGAGATCTTCGCTCCCGTCGTTAAGCCAATGACTTTGAGGACTGTGCTGGCTGGCGCAGCTGTGAAGGGATGGCACGTGAAGCAGATGGATATCACCACAGCGTTTCTCAATGGAATACTGCTGGAGGATATCTACATGGCGCAGCCCGACGGCTATGAGGATGGGACCAGCCGGGTGTGCAAGCTCAAGAAGGCCATCTATGGCCTTAAGCAAGCGCCCAGGTGCTGGTACGAGAAGCTGGAGGAGGTGCTGCTGAGTGGAGGCTTGAAGACGTCCCAGGCGGATCACAGCTTGTTTCTGCTTGGAGAGGGGGAGCAGCTGCTCTTGTTGGTCGCTGGTGTATGTCGACGACATACTGCTGTTCTCACCCTCCATGGAGCAGATTGAGAGGGCACAGAAGCTGCTGGTGGACAACTTCAAGTGCAAGATGCTGGGGGATGTCCACTACTACTTGGGGCTGCAGATTGAGAGGGATGTTGAGAGGAGGTGGCTGAAGGTGCATCAGTCACATTACATCTCTGGTGTCATGGAGTGGTATGGTGTGACTGGGGGTCGCACTGTGATGACGCCATTCCCTGCAGGCTTCAAACTGAAGAAGGCAGCTGAGGAGGATGATGTGCTTGAGGATGAGCAGTGGAATGAGTACCAGTCACTCATTGGGAGTGTGATGTATGCAGCTGTGCATACGCGACCTGATGCTTCATTTGGAGTGGGGCAGCTAGCCAGAGTTGTGCAGCGGCCCACTGAGGAGCAGTTGGAGGTGGCAAAGCGCTTGGTGCGCTACCTCGGATCAACGGCATTAACTGGTGTTCAGTTTTCAGCTGGTGGCCAGCTGAAACAGATTGGAGCAGATGGGATCACGCCTGGAACCTTGAAGCTGTCGTGCTTCACCGACGCTACGTGGGCCTCGGAGGAGGAGGATCAGTCATCAGTTGGCGGCTTTGTGTGCATGGTCGGAGGTGGACCAGTGAGCTGGAGGTCCAAGAAGCAGAGTGAGATTGCTCAGTCTTCCGGAGAGGCAGAGTACATGGCGATGTACCATGCCATCAAGGAGATCGTGCTCCTGAGGAAGCTGCTGGAGGACATGGGAGCTGAACAGCAGGGACCTACACCACTTTTCTCTGACAGCGAGGCTGCTATTGGCATGGCCAATAATCCTACCTTGAATGGGCTGAACAAGCACATGAAGATTAAGTGGCATTGGGTGAGGCAGATGGTGAAGGAGGGAGTTGTTGAGCTTCACCATGTGAAGGCTAGCAAGCAGGCGGCAGATTTTCTTACCAAGAGACTTCCCGAGAGTGCACATTGGAAGTGTGCTAAGATGTGTGGCATGGCAATGCACTAGTGTGGGCAGCGGTTTCACGAGTACATGCGTGTCAGTGTGTGTGCATGCAGTCCGTTAGTCTGAGGGGGAGTTTGTTGGATGCACGTCATTCTGAGTGCATGTCATCCTAACGTCCTGCCGAGTGCTCGTGCTATTTGTGCTTGCATGATTTGCATGAGCATATGTCATTGTGCATGGCTGTTGGATATTATCATCTCTGTGTTTTCTCCAAGTCTACATGCTTGATCATGCAGGAGAAATTCAGAGCTTTCCAACGATACCAAGATCGCCTTATTCCGACCAAGATCGCCCAAGTTACAAGATTTCCAAGATTTGGATTTCTTATTACCTTTTGGGGTTATATCTAATTTGGGCGGTTATTGGGACATGACTATAAAGGGATCTTTGGTTGGGTGGTTAGGAAGGCAACTTTGACTTTTGGATTGGGGTGGCTAGAAGTTTCTAGCATGGGTTGCAAATGTTGCAACACCTAGGCAAAATCCAACTAGATTGGATTTTGCATGTGACACCTCAAGGACCTCATGATGAGGGTTGCATCCTTGCTGCTAGGAAGGTTCCTACCATCCTTCCCTAGCTCTTGGAGAACCCCTTCCCTCTCATGGTTCTCTTGGAGTCCCCAACTCCAACTTTCTATGCTTCATGCTTGTACTTCCTCCATCATTCTAGTCATGCAGCAGCTTGACGTTTTCGATTGGTTCTCACTCTCTAGACCATCTTTCTAAGTGATTCAAATTGGAGATGGTAGATAAGCCGAAGGCGCAACATCCTACCGAGCGGATTTGCGTTTAGTTGAGTAATGAGTTCGTCGTAGCTTCTCGAAGTGACGGATCCTGAACAACACATCTTCGTCAGACAAAGAGCGGCAAGTTGTCCGCAGAGGTATGCCCAATGGTATTTCGGAAATGAGCAGACAGTTGCTGGCCATGCGGCAGTAGCGCATGCTCTCATTATCCACTTGCGCTTTCTATGTTTCTGTTCTTCAGCGAGTACATTGGCAACTTCAATGGTGACCGTCTTGCGCACAACAAGACGGCTCTACTTCTCGTCTCCGGCAAGCTCCACCGCTCTCTGGACGCGTCGTGTAAGGAGGCCGTTGTCTCGGGGTTCCCCGTCCAGGAGCTCTCCAACACTTTGATCGTTAGCATTGGTGGTGTCGTGGACCCTGTCAACTTCCCCTGGTTCAACGGCGTACTCGAGATGTTCAAGACAATCTTCCGCAGCATTTACTTGACCTTCGTAACCACAGACGCAGAGTGGCACGCACGGGGTTTAATTCCTCTCATTCTGTACGACAACCTGCCGGTCTGGGTGGGTAGGGCGTGGCGCCACACGCCGCCTTGGGCGGTGCATCTCACGTGGGCACGGTCTGGCGTTATGCCAATGGCGTGGCGCGAGCTCCTCCACCTAACCGAATACCCGCCTACGGCCGTGACTCGCGAGCCCCTCATCAAGCAGTTGGTACAGCTGCAGGTCCACATCGACCGGTTCTCCAGAGGTGTGCCGCGCTTCATGGCCGCTACAGACAATGCCTCATGTGACGGTCGGCTACTGTCGTCCGTTCGACGGCCGACCCCATTGGATGCGTCTATCGCGGGAGGATCGGCCGCACTGCGTCCCATGCCTGAAGGCATAATTTCTCGCAAACCTAGAACCCGACGGCGCTTGGTGTGCGCGGTAGCGCAGTCTTATGTCCGCACGGCGGCAGAGATGGGCATAAGTCCGCGCGACGTCCCAGAGCGAGTCGGGGTCGAGAACGACGACGTGGTACAGCGTCTTCGCCGAACCCCCCTTAAACGCGCCCGCCGTGCCACCACGGGACATGGGAGGTCCATATGCAGTGACAGCTCCAGCGAGGACACAGCCAGCCTTTTGTGTCTGAGCTCACCCCTTGCTTCATCCAACAGCGGAAGCAGCTATTAGGGTGTGTCAAGGGGTGACCAACCTGGCGTTCTCTGCTGGTGAACGGCTGGATAGCACGGTGTTAGTATGATGTTGTGTTGTTCATTCACGATTTTATTTTCATGTTTGTATCGGCACACGCTATACAATGTACTTCACCAGTCCGGACGCTTCCAACCACACCTGCTTGCATGCCCGTTGTTCAGTGATGTGACAAGGTACAGCTCGGACAATGCTGATTTGCCTATCTTGATTTGCGGCGGCTTCGCTGTGATATTAACTATCCGCGTTGTACTGGTGTTTGCTGAAATTTTTATGCGGTAACACTTTGTAACGGAGCAAATGTTAATTCGTTGGATATCACGAAGCCAAAACCAAAACCTCGGATCCAGAACCCTCTGTTTTGGCGCGCAATCACCATCTGTTGACATGTGGACACATCATGCGATGTCTCTGCTTGTCCGAATTCCGTCCGCTCCGCATTCCATCACCATCCTCTCCAACCCAATGGCTGAAACAAGGCCAAAACTGTCCATGTAGTTGTTTGAGCAGCTAGACAAATAGCGTATGCTCCCGCCTGTTCAGTGGATATCAGTTTCGGCCCTTCCATTTATGTCCATTGTAGTTTGCGTCCAGTATGAAGAGAATTCGTGGACGGGGTGCTAAGCGCGAGGACACGGAAGGGTCTCCTCCCCGCGGTCCACACGTCACGGGCCTAATAGCTCGTATGCTTACTCACCCGCCGGGAACGGACACCCAGACGCCCGATGCTGACCGGCAAAAAGGCGGGGACAACACGCGCGATACAAGGTCATCTGCACAGGGGTGGAACGTCGGTGGCAGTGGCGTTCCCGTCGACGACCAGCCAGACGACTTGATTAAGAGACTACGAGATCCATCGGTGCGTCGAGATTTCCGAACTCTAACCATATTCGGACCTCACGGCGTGGGATGTCAGATCACAGGAAAGGACGCTCTTACTATTGCGGACGGGAAGTATATTGCCGACACCATAGTCGATTTCCACAACATGTAAGATTCCACCGGTCGGTTGCTTGTATGTGCGTTATGTTTCCACGCATGAATCAGAGTCGTTACCTGAGTGTTGTGGCCGTGCGTGCAGACTTCTTACCATCAGACATCCTAAACTGAAAGATGGGAAGACGTGGTTTACACTGGACACCAAGTCGTTTGTATACGCAACGGTTCTGGACAGGACCTGGCCGATGGGAGGGTCACCATGTATTTTCGATGTGGATAACGTGGCCATTCCAATCATTGCCAGGTGGATGCACGAATAGCCGTTGCCAACGTCCCTACCGCGTTGCTGATTGTGTGGGCCTGACATCGTATTCCTGTGCAGGAGACATTTCTCGCTGGTGGTCGCTCTTAACCTCGCAGCAATGTTATCAGGGAAACGAGCTGACCGCGTGACGGAAGGTGTCAAGCTTGTGCACTACGACAGTGATGGCATGCACGCCAGGGACGCAACTATCATCGATGGTGTGAGGAAGTAAGTGATTGTGCTACTGTGCATCATGCTGTACGCAGTTGTCCGAAGGACCGGTGGCTGACATATGTTTGTGCTTGACACAGGACACTTTTCATGATCCACGAGGCGCAGCTGCCCACGGACGACCCTGTCAAAGCTGCTGCTAAACTCCGGGAAGTAGAGCACATAGTCATACCGGTGAGGAATGTTGCATTCGTGTGAGGGTGTTCGCCTGCCTGTTTGATGTGATGAATCTGGTGTGGATTCATTGAGTGCTGTCTACCGACACTTTCCCACCATGTGATCCTGGCAGAAAGAAGGGAGTCCACAGCAGAGCAACGACAAGGACTGCGGGGTTTTTGTGTGCATGTACATGAAATACCTCGTAAGGTCGGACTTCGCCACGGTTCGCATGTGGGTGTCATGTGACGGTGTCACGGCCAAGGACTTTCGGCGCGGCATGCGCGCAGATGTGTGCAGTCTCGCCACTGGGGAATTGATGATGCAACTGCTACTGGAGGAGATTGACGTGCCCCTTCAGCCCATTCCATTGGTGGGAGACCAGGGTGTACTGATGTTCCCAAAGGATGATGACGTGCGCCTGGAGCTGGCACGGATGTCGCGTGAGCGTACCAACCTGGAGCTGGGAGGGTTCGTGTTGGCCTCAGCGGTCACGAGCATCGCAAAGGCACTGGGGTATGACGTCCCAGAGCTCCGTGCCGCATGTGCGCATGAGCTGAGCACGTGTGGGACGCCTCTTCTCCGAAGGTCGTCCGCGGCGGAGAACTTAGCGGAGCGACAGGGCGCACAGGACACACTGGCCAATATGTTGCACGAGAGACTCGAGCCCCTACGTCCTGTCCCCGCGATATGGGCCCGCTAACAGCAGGAAGACAACTGCGCAACTCGCGTGGCGCGCAAAGACAGCACTGAGACACCGGGTCCGCCCACCCCTGATACCTCACCAGACAAGGGTGGAGGCGTAGGATTGAGAAAGCCGCGATCTGCAGCGGCGAAGTCAACGGCCTGTGCTGGCTCCGGGGAGAAAAAGAGGGGTGGCACGAGCGAGTACACAGGTGTATGGTTCGAAGCGCGGGTACGGAAATGGTGCACAAAGTTAACGGCCGATCTGAGTACTGGACGTCAGATTCGTCTGGGTGCATATCAGAGGGAGGAGGACGCGGCGTACGCGTACGCCGCAGGAGCATTCGTGATACGGAGGAAGGACACCTTTCCCAAGGTCATGGAACTTACAGCGGGCGAGATGGCAGCACTGGAGGGGTGCATTGAGGATGACGTACGACACCTCGTGCATAAACGGCAGTGGTATCGGTGGAGGGAATGGCGGAAGGCAATGGATGACATAGGGATCAAGCCTGGAACACCATTTGAGCTGGAGAAGGGTGGCAAGTCGAGCTCACAGGCGCGCCGACGGGGCTGTAGTATGGATGCAGCAGGGGAGCCGGCCACTGCGGACGGGGAGAGCGTAGAAGTGTCCCCTGGGGAAGGGTCTGATGGTGAAGCGGTAGACATGCGCACGCCCTGATATTTGTTAGTTTTAGGTGGATGATGGTTGACGTTGTGGTGAACTTGCTTCGATGTTGGCGTGTGTTGTTGTTTTTTTTTTCCGTGGTGTAACAGGAGGATAGTGATAACGTTTTCTGATGATTCTTGGTAGCAAACATAGTTATGCATAAACAATCATGTACCACTAAGGTGTATGTACGCGACTGAGGGTGCAGAGTTTGTGAGGTGGTGGTTTGGCCAGGAGTAGGCACACAGTGAGTCGATAGAAGGATGTGGTTTGGTGTCAACGGCTGATTGGCTGGCAGATTTCCGACAAGAGAGTCAACCACCACGTCAATGTCCGCAAAACGCTGGACACAGACGTGTAGCTCTGTCCAGTCTGTGCACAAATGCTTGGAATCTCGTCATTGTGGACACCAACCGTCCAGAATCCTCAGCCACTATGGACAGTGGCAACGACAGCATCCGGGCGTCCAGGGAGGGGAAACGTCAGCGAGTGTCCAAGCCACCCAAGCACCTCACGCACTATGTGGTGCCTGGGACTTCCAGGAGGCCGCCTGTACCGAGGGCTAATGGCGCTAGGGATAAGAAGACGGCTGTACGTGCACCGACAAGCGTAACTTCTGATAGGTGTAAGTGTGCGTCGGTTGATTCTCATCCATTTAAGTTTTTCGTGTGCCAGTTGTATGTGTTGGTTTTCAAGGAGCAATGTCCGGCCGCTGTATGTTGACGTGCCGTCCCACATGTTTGTGCAGCCACCTCCCCGGAGCCCAATCAGGCAGACGCACGTGAGGGCGAGAGCTCATCGTCGCGTGATACAGTCGCGAAGAATAGGCGGAAGGAGAGCCCTTCGTCGTCTGTTGGGAATGGGCGTTCGGCGAGGAACGAGAAGCATGGCAAGGTATCGGACCTGCCTGAAACGGAGGAACAGCCCGAAGCGCCACCGGAGGAACCGGAGCCCGAGTCGTCTGACGACAACCCGAACGAAGCGCTTCCTCGTGTCAATGCTGCTGCCGACGACGACGCGGAGGAGACTAATGAGGAACGATCCAACTCGGCCCCTGTTACCAGGGAGGAGTTTGACGCTATGCGCAAAACCCAGAAAGACACGGCTGCGACGCTTGCAAGGCTCGAGAAGGCGCTGCTGGCGTCGCTTGCAAATCACACCGCAACGCAAGCGGGACAATGCTCGCGGGGTGTTCGAAAGGGCTCCGACCGGAAGAAAGGCTCGTCGCGTCGCCACGCCAGAGGAGTCCGACCTGGACGAGGACGAGGTGGAGGAGGACCACTGGCGGCACATGCGATCGTCCACGTCGCCTGTTCTCCAGCGCGCGTTGAAGTTTCTGCCGTCGAACAAAGGATGGAAGGCACGTACAGCTTGGGTGCTCTGATGGTTCCCATGTTGTAACGCCGCCATGTAGGTTTATATCCAGTAGTTCTCCCTGATGATACGGATGCTATTCGGGTTCGATGCGTGTTGATTGTGGGCCCCCTCATTTGCGGGAGGTTTGCGAGCAGTTGCGCGTGCATCTGTTCATATCGGTGGACAGCAAGTCCATGACGTTCTACCCGAGCAGCGCGGCAAAGACGACAGCTCTGTGCGCCGTCTTCGAGAGCCTGCCCTTCCCATTCGCTAGCCTGGCTCTGGCGGCCGACAAGGCTAGGCGTTGTGACCTCAACCGCACCCTGAGTGATTGGAAGACAGCGGCGGCTGGACGCGTGCGCGACATTGTGCTGCCGAAACTCGGGCTTTTCCGCGACGAGCGGGACGAGCAAAGCCCGTGGGCGGCTCCTAGGGCGCGTTCGGCGGCGAGGGTCCGGGAGCGTCTTGCTCTGACGCTCGATGGAGAAGGTAAGACAGGTACATGCTTTTCTGTGTTGACCGCATGTGGGTGGTTAGCGTTGTGACAAAAGCTGTGACGTTGCTGAACGCAGACGTGTTCGCTATATCCAAGTGGAGCGCGGACCGCCACGGCATGCCTTTTGCGTCCGGTGCATTCGCGGCCTGTGCCCGTTCAGCGTTCAAGCCGTGGATGATCAACGGCACCGTGACGCTGAAGCTGTACCACATGGCGTGGCTCGAGCACGTGGTAAGTTCTCGTACTGTACGCCGTTGTGTCCATACTTAAGGCAGCAAAATGTGGACGAGTACAGGCCTTTCTCATTGAATGTACATGTTTTGTGCAGGTGACCGATGCCATCCGCTTCTGGGAGACCCGCAAGGGCAGGCTGTCCAACTCTGCGGGTGTCAACTCGCAGATCGTGGACGGCCTCCGCGAGTGCGCCCTGACGGAAGTCATGGCGGCTGACGATTAGTTCCAGCCCGCGTACGACGCAACAACTTCCTCCTGGGCTTGGGGCCGCCATGGCCTGCGCCTTTCTTCGTGCGGCATCGAGCGCCAGGCGACGGCAGCGCCAGCAGCCAGCGAGAGCGGGCGGGAGGGTGACAATCTTTCTTTGAATTGAAGTGATGGGAACACTTCCCCAGCATTGGGCTGGGTGAAGCGGTTCAATCTTATGCGCGTCTAGAAGTGGGTTATCTGTTGGGGGGAAGCAACGATGTGGCATGACGTTGTGATGGTTTTTTGTTAGCGCATGGATTGTAATGTTGAGTGGAACCTGTGTGAGGCTAAACCGAAATAAGGAGTGATTTCAAGAGTGTCACATGCCTTTGTTCAAAAAGGAGGGCACATAGTGTCAGACCAACGGGCAGAACTCTAGCGATAGCAATCAATATTCAGTCGGGAAAAGGAGGGCGTGGGTTGTTTGCGGTAGGCGCGTTTTTATCTAATTCGAAATTATATGGACGGTTGGATGCCGATGTTTAGGAGCTGGATGGACGGTTGGATGTAGAGCATACCCTGTGGCGGCGCGTCGAGTCGCGTGATGTGAGGAGGTAGTGGTATGCTGGGATGAGATCAACGGCGCCGATTGGAAGTTACCAGGTTATCATGACTAGAGTCCTTGGTGGGGAAGTGTCGTTGTGTAACACACGATATGTCGTGCCATACATATGCTGAACGAGGATTGGTCGACTGAGTAGGGACGATGGTCGTGAGGGATGGACATGCAAACGTGGGCCGTAGATCCGCGAGCCAGAGATGCGATGTCCGTGTTACATTTGGAGCATAGAGTGCTGTTGGATCTGATATAGTATGCGGTTTGGGTCAGATGTGGGCGTCGAATATTCACCGTGAATGACAGGTGTTGGACGAGTTATGATTCATACATGTGTGTGCAAGTGGACGGTTCAGAAGATGGCCACGTATCAGGATTGCAGGGAGTGTAGTGCGCGATGTAAACCGTGGGATATTGAGAGGTTGTTCGGCTGGATGTATGGGGGAGGTGGTTGGCGAAAACGCAACGAAAGCGTGCGCCAAATCTGGACGGTACAGCTGTGGTACTATCGACGGCCTGAAGGGACAAGTGCATCCTTTGTGGGCGTACGTGGTTGGATGATGGGGAGGGCGATTTGTTGCATCTTGGCCGTCCGCTAAATTTTGGATGTCCTGACGAATGGCGAGACCTGATTGGCGGACGGGAATGAACACCTGGCGTACGTTCTCTTAGTGAGTCAGCTTGTTACGCGGAGATGTCACAGTACCACACGTGTATGCTGACGTGGCTGTGGTGTTTATCGGTGACATTTCCGTGAGCCGTAAGGTACATGAGAGGCGAGGACGGGAATGTGGGCGCTCAGTCACGGCGGAGTGACTTGGGATGTAACATAACGGTGGGGGTTTTGTGACTTTTGGGGGACTTTTTTGTGACGAGGTGGTCACTAGCAACGTGACTTAGCAAACGGGTACTTTCAGCCATGATTTTCCCGTGACCGGAATCTGTCACGGGAAAGTCACAAAGTTGTCAAACTTCGGTGACCTCCGGCCCTTGTAAAATCCGTGATGGAGTGGAAGCCCCAGAAAAGGGTGGGGAAGCATTGGCGGCGGAAAATGCAGAAACGGAGCAGGCGGAAGCAGAGCAAGAAGCGGCAGCAGCTGGCGGAGGCGGCAGAGGCGAAGGCCGCTCAGGAGAAGGTGGCACAAGACAAGGCGGCGGCATTGGAGAGGGCGGCACAGGAGAGGGCGGCACAGGAGAAGGCGGCACAGGAGAAGGCGGCACAGGAGACGGTGGCACAGGAGACGGCGGCACAAGAGAACGCGGCACGGGAGAATGCGGCACGGGAGAATGTGGCACGTGAAAATGCGGCACAAGAGAATGCCGCACGGGAGAATGCGGCACGTGAAAATGCTGCACGGGAGAATGCGGCACGGGAGAATGCGGCACAGGAGAATGCGGCACGGGAGGATGCGGCAAGGGAGAATGCGGCAAGAGAGAATGCGGCAAGGGAGAATGCGGCAAGAGAGAATGCGGCAGGAGAGAATGCGGCAAGGGAGGACGCGGCAGAGGCGACGTCGGCGACGCCGGCACAAGCGGAGGCGGAACAGGCGGTGGCGGCAGATGCGGCGGGGGCGGCAGCACAGGTGGCGGGGCAAGAGATGGCGAAGGCGGCGCAGGAGAAGGCACAGGAGAAGGCGGCAGAGGCTGCACCGGGAGGAGAGGTGGCGCCAGGAGAGGCGGCGGCGGCACAGGAGACGGCGGCACAGGAGGCAGCGGCACAGGAGGCGGCGGCACAGGAGGCGGTGGCACAGGAGGCGGAGGCACAGGAGAAGGCAGCACAGGAGAAGGCGGCACAGGAGAAGGCGGCACAGGAGACGGCGGCACAGGAAACGGCGGCACAAGAGGCGGCGGCACAGGAGGCAGCAGCACAGGAGGCGGAGGCACAAGAGAAGGCGGCACAGGAGAAGGCGGCACAGGAGACGGCGGCACAGGAAACTGCGGCACAAGAGGCGGCGGCACAGGAGGCGGCGGCACAGGAGAATGCGGCTCAGGAGGCGGCAGCACAGGAGAAGGCGGCATGGGAGAAGGCGGCACGGGAGAAGGCAGCACGGGAGAATGTGGCATGGGAGAAGGCGGCACGGGAGAATGCAGCACGGGAGAAGGCGGCAAGGGAGAAGGCGGCACGGGAGAAGGCGGCACGGGAGAATGCGGCACGGGAGAAGGCAGCACGGGAGAATGCGGCACGGGAGAAGGCGGCATGGGAGAATGCAGCACGGGAGAAGGCGGCATGCGAGAATGCGGCACGGGAGAAGGCGGCACGGGAGAATGCGGCACGGTTGAAGGCGGCTCGGGAAAATGCGGCACGGAAGAATGCGGCACGGGAGAAGGCGGCACGGGAGAAGGCGGCACAGTAGACGGCGGCACAGGAGATGGCGGCACAGGAGACGGCAGCACAGGAGGCGACGGCACAGGAGGCGACGGCACAGGAGGCGGCGGCAAAGGAGGCGGCGGCACAGGAGACGGCGGCACAAGGGACGGCGGCACAGGAGACGGCGGCACAGGAGACGGCGGCACAGGAGACGGCGGCACAGGAGATGGCGGCACAGGAGACGGCGGCACAGGAGACGGCGGCACAGGAGACGGCGGCACAGGAGACGGCGGCACAGGACACGGCGGCACAGGAGACGGCGGCACAGGAGACGGCGGCACAGGACACGGCGGCACAGGAGACGGCGGCACAGGAGACGGCGGCACAGGAGGCGGCGGCACAGGAGATGGCGGCACAAGAGACGGCGGCACAGGAGACGGCGGCACAGGTGACGGCGGCACAGGAAACGGCGGCACAAGAGACGGCGGCACAGGAGACGGCGGCACAGGAGACGGCGGTACAGGAGACGGCGATACAGGCGAAGACTGGACTGGAGAAGTTGGCACTGGCGAGAGCGGGATGGGAGAAGAGGAAACAGGAGGCGCAGGCGTCACGGGCGCAAGCGGGATTGGCGAGGGAGGCACGGGCGAAAGCAGCACATCTGAAGATGGCACAGAATTATCATAACCATCTGTCGAAGACAATGGACCAGCGAAACCAGGAGGAGCAGCAGGTTGATCCTGGCCTTGAATAAAAAACTTTGCAAGAAGTTGGAGCAGGAAAGGAGGATGCAGAGGGAGCAGGAGCAGGAAAGAAGGAAGTGGTAGGGAGCAGGAGCAGGAGAGAAGGAAGCGGTAGAGAGCAGGAGCAGGAGAGAAGGAAGCAGTAGGGAGCAGGAGCAGGAGAGAAGGAAGCGGTAGGGAGCAGGAACAGTAAAGAAGGAAGCGGTAGGGAGCAGGAGCAAGAAAGAAGGAAGCGGTAGGGAGCAGGAGCAGGAAAGAAGGAAGCGGTAGGGAGCAGGAGCAGGAAAGAATGAAGCGGTAGGGGGCAGGGGCAAGAAAGGACATGCTTGGATGTCAGTTTCTTATGTTTCCATCACATGTGAGATCTTTGTATGCTTGTGAGGTGCTGGTGTAGAGGAAGCAAGGGCTGCAGAAGCAGCAGCAGCAGCAGGTTGTATGATGGTAATGTTATTTGTCTCTATTATGCATAATGTATTATGAATTTGCAACATCAGCAAGCTGTGCGTTGTGATTGGGTCTACGAATAGAACAGTAAAGTGGCAGGTGGGTGATAGAACTTACGAATAGAACATGTGTCCGGTGCCCATGCTTGAAAAGGTTGCATTGCTAATAATCGTCGTATCACCATATACTGGTTGAAGTGAACAGGGTGCCGAGAGGACGCTGATGGTTGCTTGCCTAGCTCTACTGCTCCTCATCTCACTGCTTTGGAGACGTCTCAAAAGTCGTCTACCATGCATTGTGTACAATCGCACGCATTGTTGCTCATGCATTGTGCGGCATGCGCACGGATTGTTGCTCATGCATTGTGCGCCTGCCGCCACGCGCCATGGTGCATGCAGCAATCTCTGCCCCGTTCTTTCCGGCCCACAGCACTTCAACACCACTGTTAGTTCCGCCCGTATTTATGCCCGAATTGCGCCCCTAGGCGAACCGTTTTTCCTGCCCGAATCGCGCCTCTAGACGGGCCCTTTTTCTGCCCGAATCGCGCCCCTAGGCGAGCCGTTTTTCCTGCCCGAATCGCGCCTCTAGACGAGCAATTTTTCCTTCCCAAATTGCGCCCCTAGGCGAGCCGTTTTCCCTGCCCGAATTGCGCCCCTAGGTCACCGCCTGACTCGGCCCTTCGTCACGTTCTTAGTCTCCCGTCTTCCACTGGCCTCACTCCACCTCTCCTGTGTCCACTGTCTGCCTAGTCCCAGACAGAGTTGTTCCCTGGCTCCCCACTGACTGCTCCTTCTTCCTACTCTGAGCAGCCAGTCTCCTTGACTGAGCATCGTGAGCCTGGGTTTTGTGCCTCCACACCTGTTCGTGCTCGTCGTGTCGCCCGTCCTCGTCCTCCTGCTGTCCCAGACACTCACGCTATGGTACTTTGACCTTCCTCCGTTCCACAACGTGTTGCCCTGCCGTCTCTTACGGGGTCCTCTCTTCCTGACGTTCCTGACCTTGAGCCCGACCTTGCTCGTGATGCCAGTCTTACTGTCACTCATCTCCTTGCTACTGTCGTCACTGACCCTGACTTTGAGTCTACTGCTGCGTGTTCCCTAGTCACTGGGCTTGTAGACTTTGCTGCTATGAGTCGTCTCGACTACTTAGCGAGTCTTGTTACTGAGTCTGAGTCCGTCTTTCCTACGTCCGTCGTGGGTGAGCCTGCCCTTGGCAGTGACGTCCTTGAGGACGGGCATTTTTAGCTTGAGTGTCTTGCGGCCGATTTTCCTCGTTTCGCATCCATGCTGCTTTGCCCTGAGGGGGACCCGGATGCACTTCACATCCCTACCCCGTAATCTTAAGTTGAGGCGATCGCGGGAAAGTACTCCTCCCAGTGGCAGACAGCCATGGACGCAGAGATGGCTTCCTGGAAGTCCACAAGCACCTACGTCGACGAGGTTTCTCTTCCTGGGGCGAACATAGTCGATAGCATGTGAATTTTCAGAGTGAAGGGGCCGTCGGGTTCTCCGCCTACCTTCAAGGCACGTTACGTTGCTCGAGGCTTTAAACAGCGCTAGGGGGTCGACTACTTCCAGACCTTCTCCCCCACCCCGAAGTTGACCACTCTTCGGGTGTTGCTGCACATTGCAGCACAGCGTCACTATGAGCTGCACTTCATTGACTTCTCCATAGCTCTCTTGCAGGGCAGCCTTCACGAGGAGATCTGGTTGCTCCTCCCACCTGGCTTCACTGGGTCGTTTCCTGAGGGTACCCAGTGGAGCCTCCGGCGGCCAGTCTATGGTCTCCGCCAGGCACCTAGCGAGTGGCACGACACACTGAGGACGACACTTGCGGCCCTTGGGTTTGCTCCTTCCACTGCTGACCCGTCGCTGTTTCTACGCACAGACACGTCTCTGCCGCCGTTCTACATTCTCGTGTACGTCGACGACTTGGTTTTTGCTACTACTGACACTGAGGAGCTGGCCCTAGTGAAGGCAGAGCTGCAGGAGACACACATGCACTGACTTGTGTGAGCCGCGTAGCTATCTTGGCTTGCAGATCACACAGGACAGAGCACGGCACACAATCACTCTGACTCAATCACACATGGTGCAGCAGGTTTTTCAGTGCTTCGGCTTCTAGTTCTCCTCGCGACAGCCCACTCCCCTGCCTACAGGCCATTCGCTCTCAGCCCCACCTCTAGACGAGTCCCTAGAGCCGAGTGGTCCGTATCTAGAGCTTGTGGGTTCCCTCATATACCTGATATCGTGCACTCACATCGCGTTCCCTATCAGCCTCCTGGCTCGCTACGTGGCTCCCGGTAGACACTGAAAGGTGCACTAGGATGCTGCTAAGAGGGTACTGCGCTACTTGTGCAGTACATCAGGCATGGGGCTCATGCCTGGAGGACGGGGTTTAGTGGTACTCACAGGACACTCCGTCGATTCTTAGGCCGACGACCAGGCGACTCAGCGGTCGTCACAGGGTTACACCTTCAGTCTTGGCTCTGTTCTGTCTCGTGGAGGTCCAGTCGTTCGTCTTCTGTGCTTAGTTCCAGCTGTGGGGCCGAAATCTACGCAGGGGCTAGCCATGGCTGCCCAGGAGCTACGTTGGCTGACCTACCTGCTGACCGACTTGGGGGAGCGGCCTCGTTCTCCTCCATTTCTGTACGTCGAGAACAAATGCTTGCCTTGTGTCAGGAGCACAGACTAGAGCACAGAACGAAGCACATTGCTCTTCGCTACTTTCTTGCTCGAGAGCTGCAGCAGCATGGTCAGTTTCGCCTTCACCAAGGCCCTCGGGTCTGGTGATCATCAACATTTTTGCATGCTCTTGGGCTTCTGCCCACCCTGCCTCACCTGCTTGTCTCTTAATCTTGCCCTTGTTGCTGATATCTACATTTATACCTACATGTGTACTCTTGGTAGGTTTTAATCAGTGTACTGCCTTGCTCTTATAACTCTGCATGTGAACTGGCCTTGTGGTCGCTTGCTTGTGCTCAAAATGAGTGGTGATCTTGAGATCCACCCTCGGCTTTGCATTGCCTTGTTCTCTTGCATGACGGGTCTTGTGACCATTTGTTGTGTTGGCTATCCCTCACTTTGCGTATGGGAGTGTGTCAAAACTTTTGTTTGTCCTTAATATTGCTAGTTTACAGTGAAATGCTCAATATAAAGTACAACCTTAGTTAGGGTTTCATACTTGTATCTCTTTGTTCCTAGTCAAACCATCATTCCACATAGTTAACTCTCAACAATCACCATGGCAGCAATACTCGTCGAAACTTTGCCCACGGTTTTGCGGACCATTTCGCATCATGAAATGAATTACCCCGGTTGCTGCAAAGCCTCTGCTGCCCGACGACTGGCATGTACACGATGCATTCCACGTCAGCCTTCTCAAGCCTTTCGTACCAGCCATGACGGACATTGCCCGACAACTCGCCCTTTCCCGGAACCGGCACTTGACCCGTCGAGATTTTTCACACATCGCGTACGACTTGACGCATCAGGACTCCACGTGGATTTTCTGATTCTTTGGATTGACCGCACTGGCGAAAACGACACTTGTGTGTCATCCGCCTCGCTTGACGCCATTCCGCTACTACGCGATTACCTCGCCCGGAAGCGTATCGCGGATGTTGACCACCTTTCTTAATCGGGGGGGGGGGGGGGGGGGGGGGGGTAAAGGAAAAACCGTTTTTCTTAGTGGGGTTTACTCAACCGCGTACAACCTCATTACTCGGCAGTGTAATTCAGTTGGTTTGATTGCTGCCGAAGCAACCTCGCGTCGCCTTCAGCTTTCCTTTGCTCAACCTGCACCCAACCTCGTGGTTTTGAGGTTCTTGCCTAGCTAGGTTGACCCGCTATATAATCGCATGCCTTTCATTGTATCGTCAATTTTTTAAGTCACAAGTTACAACTTTTTTTTACAACTTATAAGAGTAATCTTTTGACACCTAGTGCAATCCTCGCTATCTCGTTCCATTGCACCCATAACAATGTCCCAGACCAAATTCGAGGTTCCCTTCATGTGGTAGTTTGAATTTGAAAACCACCATGTGGTAACCGGGCTCTAACCCACCCCAAATTCGCCAAGCACTCCTTACAAATCCGAAATTGGTGCTCTACGCTCCACCGAACTCTCTCGTTCATGCTTCGAATCGAAGACAATTGTGCTGTTCGCCAACACCTTTGAAGCCAAAAACCACAGGATAAAGACAGGATCAGGAAGGTCAGTCTCGCCTTCCTGATCCCGTCAGTTAGGGTTCGTTTACCTCCGTCAGCCTGGTCAGCCCGTAAAAAAGCTGCCAAGCCTCCCCTACAGTCCAAACCAAAAACCAAAGTGGGGGTCTGGCGAACGCTCCCTATTTATTGATCAATTTGAACGACCAAACGGCATATGGAAGTGGGGATGCAACTTTGTCCCCATACAAAATTCCCTCCCAAGCTATGCCATCGCCATCCCCCGTTTTTCAAAGGACAGCGATGGCACAGCAGTGGCAACCTCTGAACGTGCCATTTCTTTGACAAATGGGGGTTCGTTTACCCCCCATTTTCCCCCTGTCGAACACACCTTCGATGAGCCCCATGACTTGGTCGAAATCGTACGCAACTTCGTAAGCACTCACAGTTCTACTCCTTAGCACAGTCGCGACAGTCTTATGTCTCACTAGGTTTACACAACCAGCGATTCGCCATGAACCGCACAAACTTACTTGCGTCTCTGCAGGAGTGGTCTGCTCGGGAGGAGAGCCTCTCCCGACAACGTGAGACCCAAACGGCTGCGCGAATTGCTGTTCCTGCCAGCACCACGCCTCTTGCACCCCCGGTATAAGTAGCTCGTAGAAACGGGCCATCCATGGCCCGCCGCACCACTACTGCGCGCGTGCACCCAGGAGTTGCGAACTCGCCGCTACTCCCCCCGTATTCGGAGTTAGACGATAGTGGCGACGTAGTTGAAAGTGAGACCGTGGAGACGGGACGTCATCCGTGGAACGATAATCTCACCTACGATCTACTCAACATAGTCATAGAGACTCATGTCGAGAATGGCTCCGCCCCGCACGCCATCATCACGAAATGGGCAGAAATCTATGACAACTGGGTAGAGATGCACGGCCCGCACTTGTACGATCTCGAGCAGCTGCAGAACCACATAAGGGTGGTTAAATGCTGGGTGAAGGATATCCGGTACCTGCAGAGCCTAATCAAAACCGGCATCAGCTACGACCCTGAGAAGGACTTCTTCAACCCACCTCCCGAAGTAAGTTCCAGAGTTTAACTCATTCCAAGTATGTGGTGACTAATCTAGCTACTTGGATGCCACCTCCTTATCCCCTGCGTTGCCATCTATACGCTATGATAAAAAAATTATTATCGAACACATCCACTTTTATTCCCCTTTGTACCTTCAGCTCGGAATGTTGGAGAAGCTTGAGAGGCTCAACATATGGCCTAGGTACTCGAAGTGGGCATCCAAGACGCCCCTTGGTTTTCGAAAGCGGCAGAAATTGTGCACCGGAGTGGCCGACGCTCAAGATTCGCCACTGATCGTCATACAGGCCCCCTGGTGTTCGTTAATGACCCCGGTTTAGAAGAGGATGTTGGTGACGCCCCCGAGGGTGACGAGCTTGGGCTCGGAGATGGCGCACAGGGGGAAAATGGCATCGGAGGTGGCGCACAGAGGGGAAGCGGCCTCGGAGGTGGCGCACAGGGGGGAAGCAGCCTCAAAGGTTTTGCGCAGGGGGGAAGCGGCCACAGAGGTGGCGAGGCAGACGCGGGGAGGGAGGAAGAGGGGAGGGAGGAAGAGGGGAGGGCGGAGGTGGGGAGGGTGCAGGTGGGGAGGGCGGACGTGGGGAGGGCGGACGTGTGGAGGGCGGACGTGGGGAGGGCGAAGGTGGGGAGGGCGCGGGTGGGGAGGGCGGACGTGGGGAGGGCGGACGTGGGGAGGGCGGTCGTGGGGAGGGCGGAGGTGGGGAGGGCGGAGGTGGGGAGGGTGGACGAGGGGAGGGCGCTGAAGGGCATGGAGGTAGTGGGGGTGTAGGTGCTGGTGGCGGCAGTAGCGCCATGCCCGAGGATCCGCGGAGTCCCGCTAGGTCCTCGGCTGGGACACCCGCCCCTAGAGGCCCCGGGACCGCAGAAAACAGCGAGCGCAGCCCCGCCTCGCCATCTAGCTGGAACAAGAGCCGTAAACGCTCTGACGGCAACCAGGTCGCACATCAGCTGGAGGTACTCACCGTGGCGACCGAGCATGGCATCACCATGCGCCACACGGGTGAGCCGTTGTGACACACGTGGGCCTGTAGTTGTTGCTCTGTCCTCGCCGGTGATGCACTAACCCCCTGTGCCCTCAGGAGTAGTGTGGCAGCCATGCAGCACCGTTCAGCACCATGCCGCACCATGCTGTACCTTGCAGCACCATGCAGCACCATGCAGCACCGTGCAGCGTGGTGCAGCAACGTGCAACACCAAGCGACGCAATGCAGGGCCATGCAACACCGATTTATTACCGTGTGGCTTCAAGTTGACGCCATGCATCACCAAGCCGCATCATGCAGCAGCGGCATCACCATTCTTTCACCATGCAACACACTTGCGCACCGTGGCAGCTGCAAGCATCACCATTCCATCACCATGCAACACACTTGCGCACCGTGCAGCTGCAAGCATCACCATTCCCTCACCATGCAACACACTTGCGCACTGTGCAGCTGCAAGCATCACCATTCCCTCACCATGCAACACACTTGCGCACCGTGCGGCTGCAAGCATCACCATTCCATCACCATGCAACACACTTGCGCACCGTGCAGCTGCAAGCATCACCATTCCCTCACCATGCAACACAATTGCGCACCTGTGCAGCTGCAAGCATCACCATTCCGTGCACCCATGCAACACACTTCCGCACTGTGCAGCACGGAAGCATCACCATTCCATCACCATGCAACACATTTGCGCACCGTGCAGCTGCAAGCATCACCATTCCCTCACCATGCAACACACTGCGCACCGTGCAGCTGCAAGCATCACCATTCCCTCACCATGCAACACACTTGCGCACCGTGCAGCTGCAAGCATCACCATTCCTATACCATGCAACACACTTGCGCACCGTGCAGCTGCAAGCATCACCATTCCCTCACCATGCAACACACTTGCGCACCTTGCAGCTGCAAGCATCACCATTCCATCACCATGCAACACACGTACGCACCGTGCAGCTGCAAGCATCACCATTCCCTCGCCATGCAACACACTTACGCACCGTTCAGCACGGTGCAGCACCGTGCCATACCCTGCAACACCTAGCCGCAACACATTTCACCATGTCGCACCCTGCACAGGTGGGACGCATCACCATTGGTCACCATGCAACACCATGCTGCGTCGAGCCTTGCCATGCTTCACCATGCATCACCATGCATGACCATGCAGCACGGTGCAGCACCGTGCCGTACCATGCAACGCCTAGCAGCACCGCACTTCACCTTGCCGCACCATGCAGCTGCAAGCATCACCATGCATCACCATGCAGCACCATGCAGCATCATGCAACACCATGCAGCACCATGCAGCACCATGCAGCGCCATGCAGCACCATGCTGCACCAGGTAGCACCGTCCCACACCATGAAGCACCAAGCAGCACCGTTCTGCTAAGCGTCCCTCTCTGCCCATTCCTGATTTACCTCGATGTGTGCACGGTATTTGCAGATGAGTACCCGCACGTGATGCAGGCTGTTGATTTGATTGAGGCCATGGAGGATCTCACACCTTTGCAGAAGTCGATCGCGCTTTCATACAACGGGTGGTAGGTGTTGATAGCAGCCAGGCGTAGTCCTCACAAAGTAACTTATTGTTAAACTTATTACATTTTTTTTGTCCCCTTTTTGGAGCCCTAAACTAAAACCATTGACATGTCCAAGTTGTTGTAGACATTGTTTGTAAACAATGAAACCTTAGCAACATTCATGAACCCTAGACGCAACTCTCTCTCCTGGATCCCTGCCAAGAGGTCCTCATCGTCCAGGATGTCTGCGCCTCCATGTCGCTTGATGAAGTTGTGAATAATGCAACATGCCTACACGAATGTACACTGTAAAGCAACACTGTAGGGCCGCATATGCTTGAGACTGGGGAAACTGGCTTTGAGATGTCCGAACGCACGCTCTACGAGGGATTGGAGGGAGGAGGTGAGTCTTATTAAATAACTCCTCATTGTTTCGCGGTTGGAAGCCCGACTCTTGCCATCGATGTTGATGGCACATGATTGCCCTATAAGGAGATAGTAGCTGCTGGTCGTTCCTAAATCCGGAGTCGGCGACAAGGAAGGTGCCATTTGGGATGACCAACGATTGGGTAAGGGTGTGCTGGAAAATTGTGGAATCATGGGTTGAACCCTCACATCCAACCATGAGGTATATGAATTCGCCCGTGAAAGACACGACCACAAGCACGTTCTGTGATACATTTTTGTGTCGGTCGAGAAAAGACTGTTTCTCGCTCTCTCTAAAGCACGTTGGGATAAGGGATCTATGGCGCCTATGGCTCCTGCGAAGTGCCTGTACCTTTGGTTACTAGCTAGATATGTCTCATCGCTGACAGCAGGGAATGCAATGTACTCGTCGTACAACGAGCAAACGGCCCATGCGACGGTCCGGATGGTATGACTTATCGTGCTACCGCTCCGCTGCCAAGTCCCCTGCATCACCCTGTTTGATGCAGACTGTCCTAGGAATTGCAAAAATGTTAGTAGCTGTTCGGCCGGTGTCTGGCTCGCCCTTCAATGAGTAGGCCGCGACTCACGAGTAGGTTCAAATGGTGGGTGACGAGGTAGGGCTCCATGCGCATAACCCCATGAGCCCTTCTCGGATGTCCTTGAAGTAAGTGATCAGCATACATCGGACCGCCTCTCGACAACTCGTGTTTATCGGCTGTGGTGTAGACGGTGACACCTCGGGAAACTCGCTGCAGCATGGTGATGGGCCACAAGTAGCCAAAGATATCGCCAATTAAATGTGATATATACTTTGCATATTCTTTATGGTCCTGTCTAGAAACTCTACTAGTACCTATAAGGGGGTCAAATGGTCGTCTGTGGTCTATTCCGTAAACCCTTAAGGAGTAAGATGAGTCTGAGTTGTGATTGGGCTTGTGCAAGAGGTGGCGGGGCTTCTATTTGAGCTGGGACGGGTTTTATTTGCGTTTTGTACCCAAGTCGAGCAGTTTCTGGCCCGGGGGCAGGCTGTGGTCAGTGAAGTTAAACTTTCGCGCCATTGGGGGGAAGGTGCGGATGGAGGTTCCCGATGGGGTTGTGTAATTTCGCTATTCGGGCGCACAAGTTTCCCGAATGGCATTACGCCCAAAACATGGAGGTGGGTTCCGCCCAGGGCTGTCGATTCAAGGGCATCTGCCCTAAATGCCCTAAACATTCCGGGCGAACTACTGACCAGCTTCGGCATTTCGAAGGGCTGGTTTCAAGATGAGCCCGTTTTTCTTACGGGCTGATTTTGAGAAAACGGGGTATCAACCCAGATCCGTTAAGGGCTGGTTTGGGGCCTTTTCCTAATTTCACGGACCTGGAGTACAAGTATCCCTGCGAGTACCCAAGTTGCCACCAGTCTTCTCCTCCTGCTCTCATCCTCCCCATAACTCCCACACTCTATCTACTTAGGTATGAAAGGACCTTCTAGTGCTGATGTTGTCGACGAGAAAGGCCCCGCCCTCGCTTGGGCGCAGCCGATCTCGCTGTCGACGAGAAGTTCGCTACGGATTGGTCGACGAAATGGGCTTCTGCAGTTCGACGGAAGTTGCGGAAGAGCAAGCTGTGCTCGACAGAATCTGGTCGACGAACTCCACGCGACGAGCTTTGGTCGACAATCTCTGCGCGACGAGCTTCCGTGGAAGAGCGCTGGTCGACGATCCTTGTCAAAGATTTCTGGTCGCAGAGTTTGGGTCGAGGAGCTCTGCTCGACGAATGCTGTTCGACCGAGCAATGGTGAGCTGTTCGAGCGAGTTGCAGAGTTGTGCGAAACTCTGCGAAGGCGTGCGAACTTTCGCCCAGGAGGTTTTGGCAAAGTTCTACCTGCAAAACGGCATCACGTGGTCGACGGTGCGCACCTGGCGAAACCGACGACACGTTTTCTACCTGGCACCTGCGCAATGTGCCTGACGGTGAAACCGCCAACCTGCACCTACTTGGTAGGTACGCACATCTGCGCAGCTAGACAACCTGCGAACGCAGATAGGTACCTGCGACTGCAGATAGTCACCTACGACTACAGTGCTGGCAAACCGCGCACAGTGCAACGCTGGCAGACAACTCTGCTGCAGCGTTGGCAACCCGCTCTTCTGCTGCGCTGGTAGATTTTGCCCTTGCTAGGTGTTGCATGCCATTCTAGCCATATCCTTATGCATGCCTCAACTATAATCTAGTCTTTTCAATGTTCTTTCAATTCCTTAGTCGAAACTATTGTCAACCTCCAAGTTTCTTTTGCAAGTAGCAAGAACTCTAGCAGAGCGCTACGATCACTCGCACAACCCCGTGCCCTCCTCCGTAGTCCACTCCCGTTGTGTAGTGACTCTCCGCATGGTGCGGTGAGCGTGGTAGCCGTCTTAGTCGCCATGGTCGACCCCGTGGTCGAAGCAGGTGTAGAAGATACCCTGCAGGCGAGAGAGGCTGGTGTTCGAGCAAGCCACGAGGCTGGCGGGTATGGCGAGGCGGATTTGGAGGTTCTGATCCTTGGAACTCATGCGCAGTGGGCTCATGACCACCCCCCTCCCCGTGCAGAAGCGGGCGACGCGTCCGCCTCTCCCCGACCCGTGCACAAAGAAGGCGATGGCGGAAATGTTGTCGGCGGTGGAAGCACGAGGGTTTGAGGAGTGCAGGCGCAAGTGCTGCGATCGTCTGCGACTGGAGGCAGCTCGAACGGCAACGTCGATGGTCGACGTCAATCTCCTCTGCGGAGTGGAGTCAGGCCAACTTCGGCGACTTATGTGTCGGCTGGTCGAGACGGAGGCATCGCGCCGGCGTATGGCTACT